TCAGGGTATCCCCTGGCACTGAGGACCCGGCTGCCCGGTCTGGGATGTGGTCGGGGTCCTCCACGCCCTCTTCCAGCATGCAGACAAGTCCGGGAGGGATTTGCAGACCCATCACGTGAAAGACATCACGCCTTGGGCAAGCGAAGCTCTCCCAGCCCCGCCGGGGTGCTGCGCATGGCCGGGTCCAAGGATGCTCCCCGTGACGGCAGCCTGCGTCCGAGGGCCGTGAAGGCTGTTTTCTATGCGAAAGCTATAAATGCCTTTCCCTGAGCTGGCAGCTAATGAGTCATTTCTCTGCTGCTTCCCAGCTCGCTCCGGGTGTCAGGAGAGACGACAGAAGAGCAAAGTTAGTGCTTGCAGGGAACCTCAGCTTGCAGCTCCTGTAATCCCAGAGAGTGAACCAGGAGGGTGGTGGCTGCCTTTGAGGGACCGACCGACCCTCAGCAGCACTGCCTGGAGCTGGGGACAGGGAAAGCCATTCCATCTCCTTCCAACAGGAGCATCCCACCTCCCACACCTCCACTGGAGCCAGGCAGGGACTAGCTGGGCTCCTTATCCGTGAAGGAAAGGCATTTCCCTTCTCTCATTTCTCTCTTTGTAAAAAAAAAAAAAAATCCTACACTATCTTCTTGTCCTTTTGCTGCTTGACTTTTTCCTCTCTTTTGCCCACTCCCGCTGGTGCCCATTTCTCACGGGCGGTACCTCTGCCTTCAGGGACACACTCCACCCTGTCGGGTTTCAACAAACGGGACCTATTCAGGAAGGGGTAAAAGTAATTAATGATAAATAGTGTCCTGAGATCCCACCTCAGAGCAACTAACTGCACATCGCACTGCTGGCCTGCACAGCACCTGAATGTTTTGTCTGTGGAGGGTTTATCCATGGATGGTTTGACCACCCTCATGCTCACAAGGCATCGAGGGAACCACAGGGATGGCTCAGTCCCACATCAGGACCGTCAGGACTGGGGAGTGGTGGACAAAGGGGGTTTGGAAAAAAATAGTACAAGTGGGAAGACAGGGAATGCTACTCCCCAGAAAACCATAACTGGATGCAGTGTTACTATAGATACCTGCAAAAAACCCCACCCCACCGCAACAGTAAAATCCTCAGAGAGAATCTCAGATGCAGGCACAGTGTTTCCTACAACCCTTCCTCCTCTCGCCTCTCTTTTAAAGAACAAAACCGAAAAAGGAGCAGCAGCAGCTCCAGACAAGAGGCAGCATTTGCCAGGCGTGTACAACCCCGCACCCATCTGTCCAAAGCTCTGGGGAGGGAAAGCAAGCACCGTTGTGAGAGCCGGGCTGAGGAGGAGCAGAGCGTGGCCCTGACAGCCACGGGTCTGTTTTTACACCCCGCAGCTGCAGAGCGATGCCATCTCCTGCGAACCCAGGGGAGACAGGTCTTCGTGCCAGCTTTACCTCTTAAGAACACAAGTAGCAAGATCTTCCCCCGACAACATCTGGCTACGCCCCAAAAGCTCAACTAGATACCGAATGCCATGTTCTACCTTGCTGGGAAACTCCAGAACCACCCAGGACAGGTGGAAGCCCAGAAAGAAAACATCCTTGGTGGTGACAGAGAAATCATCTCCGGTGTCAGTGTCACTGCCCATGGGGACACGGGAAGCCACCCATCCCCAGGGACAGCTCCTGCCCCCCGGAGCCCATCGCAAACACTTCTCCAAAGGAGACAGGGGGCCTGTCAGGGTAATGTCGGGGTCCCAAGCCCCCGTCGCTCTGGCTGGCTGCGGCTCTCCTGCGCTGGGACAGTATTTCTGACCGGGCCAGGCTGGCAGGGTGCTGGCCCCCGAAGTGCAGGCAGGGGCTCTGAGTTCGGCGAGCGGGCAGCTCCGGCCCCAGCCCTCCCTTTGGAAACAGGAGTAATGCAATTACACCGGCTTGGATTTTATTACAAAAAATCAATGTGATGGAATTTTTATGCCTCGGGTTAGAAAAATCATCTCCATGACAAACAGCAGGAGGTGCCTCTGGCAACCACATTCACCTGCCATGCCGAGCCCTTGAACTCGGGCATCTCCCCTCCCTCATCTCTCCTTCTTAAACCCAGTCCCTCGAGCTCGGCTTTTGATGTGACAACTTCCACTGAGGGGTCCTGATCTTTGAGTTAAGGGCTGTGAAAACCACCTTGGAAGAAAATGAAGCAGCAAGTGAACAATCACTGCTCATTAAACTTATTCTCCCTCCTACTCAGCCCGGGCTCCTGGGTTACGGTCCTGACTCACCGCGCAGCTCAAGCTGACTCACGACTTCTGCTCGCACGCTCGTTCCTCTGTCCTCGTTCCCGTCACAGAAAGGGGAGAACAAGGGTCACCAAGGACCCTTTTCCACAACGCGTGTGCACATAACAGGCAGCGGAGCCTGAAGATGCATCTCCTGTATCTAAGATCCCTTCTGGTCCCTATAGCAACTTGGGAGGCTCTCGAGGCAGGAGCAGATGTGCAGGTGATGCCTGCTTGGCTTGAGGACAGGCAATGACTGGTGAGGAGAGAAAACAGGAAAAGGCAGCATCCTGGGCCTGTCCAGCTCTCCTAAAACCAAAAGAACTGTGAGGTGCTGGGCTCCATCAAAGTCCAAGCACAGAAACCACAGTAAAAGTCAAATTCAGAGTGTGCCTGCAGTGCCGGTGCATTCAGCACTTCTGAAGTAAAGCAATTTGGGACCCCGAATCCCTGACTGTCTGCAGTATGCCTGTTAGACCTGATCAAATACTATTTTCTGAATAATATATTTAATGAGTCATAATGTTTGTCAAACACATGATTAAACAAAGAATTCCTGGCACTTGTGGGCTAGCTGAGTATCATATGAATAATGCATCACTTTGCCAATATATCTGGGTATGAATAATTGTATCCAATATCTGGCCAGCTCTGATATTTATTACGAGTACAATTTATTTATTGCATATTACATGTATTATTTAAATGTAGGCGATTACATTCTGCCCACTCCAATTTCACCTGCAGCATTTCTCTGCCTCCCCAGGTCACGCACCCCGACTGCCCACCACCTGAGACCGCGGCAGAGCTGCCCCGGCACAGCCGTGCTGGGACCACAGACGAGGAGCAACAGCGCCCGCAGACGGGTGGGATTTACCCCTGGTGCTGACAGGGAACCTGTCCCCAAGCCCAGCCACCTTGCCCCTCCGAGTCTGGCATCTTCGGAGCAGCTCTGACTTTGCCTTCTCTCAGGCTGGTGGGTGGTTTCATTGCTATGAAGCCTCAAGCCAGACTCAAGGATATTTAACTCAATGAATGGAGGAGACCTTTCAAGATCCTCCCACATGCTGCATTTCATGAAATATGAAGTATCTGATATTTTTTTGAGGGGGCTGGTTCATTAACAAAATCCTGCTTGCCAGCGCAATTAGCCGGGCTCCCTTCACCTCTCTCTGTCCCTCGGGGTGGCTCTGCTTGAGGAGGTGAACCCCAACAGCTCCCGGGGCTTGAGTCTGTCACAGCAAAGTCACTCAACCAGCTTGGCTGTGGCCACGCGGGATTGAGGGGCAGCTGTCAGGGTACAGCGAGGGGCTGGGGGGCAAGAGGGGATCTGTAACTGCGCTCGCCAGGAGGCAGAGGATGCCCCTTCTCCAGCCCCGGCGACAAGGCGAATGCCACTTGTCCCCCCAGGAGTGCTGCAGGCACCGGCAGATTTTCCTGCGCCAACACCGATCCACCAACTCATGCTGGACACGTCCCACCAAAAGCCCGGGTGGGCAGGGAAGATTTTTTTGGGTGCTTTTCCAGCTTTTTTGCTGCATCACACGCTCTCCAGGCAGCAGGGAGGCGAAGGCTGGTGGCAGCTTTGATCTCCGCCGTTATTTTTACATTAAAGAGACTTTGCAATCGCGTTCCCTGCCCCTCTGTGAATCTCAGCGCCGAGGAGGCACCCGGGGAATGATCACCTCCCAGACCGAGGGGAGCATCACTCATGCTCTTTCAACTACAAACAGCTGCCCTGCAGGAGCCTCGCCTGATTAGCGCGAGGAACGCCAGCGTCCCCAGGCTTTGAAGTTGGCTTTTCCTGGCGGAGAAGGAGATATTTTGCCAAGACGATGGGTGGGCGAAGCAAAGCACTGAAGGCAGGACAAGACTTGGGATGAGAAATGAGACACTGGGAGGACAAAGGACCGTTCCAACTGGTCATGCCACTCCTCAGAGAGGAGAAACAGCTCAACCCACACCAAAATATAAAATCCTCGGTGAGCCATAGCTGCAGTGACCTCAGGTCTCCATCCTCCTTATATAAACCTAAGACCCCTCCCCTGACAGGCAGCAAGGACACAATTCAGTGAGTATCTAAATGAGGAGGTGCAACATCTCCCAGCCTTGCATCCTTCTACTCGATTAAATACCCAGTGTTTGAAAAGAAGAAAATTCAAGCAAGGAATTAAAATAAAATAAAAGACAGATTTTTCTACCTCATGGCTCATTTTCAAGAAGTCTCATCTCAGCTAAACCTGCCTCAGGATAAATAAAATCTCCTTTGCCAATATCTTTGACCGTGAAGATAGAGAAAAGAAAAGAGGGGGCTGGGGAATTGCTCTTAAGGAAAATGAAGAGCACTTGAATTTTAGGCTCTGGCTCCCCCGTGCAAGATAAGAAATGGAGCCGTGGTGCTCAAAAGCTTTATTTAGCAGAGCAGCTCCCTGGGCCATAGGCAAAAGTTTGAGTTCCCACCTGAAATTCTTGCCAAACCCATTGGGCAGAGCTGCGACGCGCCAGCTGTGCCAGAGGCTGAAGGTCTGCCCAGGAAGAAGCACTGACTGTGGAGGGAAGGACATGGGGACACCGAGGGGATCCTGACCTTCACTAGTGCTGGGGCGCTGGGGCTGGGACTGCGACATGCTAAATCCCACAGGAAGGGACCTGCTCTGTCTGGGTGCAGTGCTTGGCCCCCATGTTGCACTCGGAAGTGAGGGTGGCATTCGCGTGGTCCCCGCAGCGCTCCCAGCCACCAGGCACCATCATGGAGCCCTGCACCTCCATGGGGACAGGATCCAGCAAAGCCCGACAGCTCGCTGCAAACGCTGGTGAGTCAGAATTGCGCTTGGATGTTCCTCTCCACGCACAAGGAGGATTTTGAGCCTTAATTATCACTTAATTCACCGGGGTGGGATGCTGCCAAGGAGCCTTGGTGCAGAGTGCTGGAGAGCTGGGAACCTCCTCACAAAGAGGCTGCTCCGACGGGCATGAAGGCACGAGATCAACGGCTCTGATGGCACCGGGAGACAGCAGACCCTGGGGACGCTGCCCTTGCATGAGCAAATAAGCCTTTGCAGGGAGATTTGCTCCCCACCAAGCACCCAGCTGGGAACTCATACAGGGCAACCACACCACGGGCGAGCCCCAGCCTTCCCCTTGCCTCCCCGGAAAGGCATCCCTTGAAGCTACTTCTGGTAACTGGTCATTAAACAACCTTGCCAGCAACCTCCTGAGCTCCCAGTGGAGCTCCCAAGAGGAAAAAAGTCTCCATCCAGCCACACACCCCTGCAGAGGGAGGAATTCCTTCGCATCAACCCA